CTATTGTATTGCAAAGTGTCTGTTCTATATCTAACCAGGACTCATCTAGTGGGTTATCTTGCAACCATCTTGCTATATATTGCAGCCTGTTGGCTAAGAAATAATAATAAAAGTTGGGTAAATCCAGTCCTCCTCTGTCTTTGGTCTTCTGAAGCGTTTTTAAGCTAATTCGTGGAGGTTTATCCTGCCAAAGGAATTTAGTAATTGAGGAGTCCAGAGATTTAAACCAGTCAGCTGGTGGTTTGTTTGGGATCATCGAGAATAAGTAATTTATTCTGGGTAAGACCATCATTTTAATTGTAGCAACCCTCCCCATAAGTGATATCGGTAAGGATTTCCATCTTGCAAGATCATCTTCCACTTTCTTTAAAAGTGGGATGTAGTTTAGTTTGGTTAGATCTGCCAGCTTGAGAGAGACATTAATTCCCAGGTATGTGATATTCCCTGACTCCAATTGTGTATTAAGCAAATTGACAAAAGAGAAATTAATTGGTAAAACTGTGGATTTTAACCAGTTTATAGAGTAATCTGAAACTCTTGAAAAAGAGTTTATCAGTTCTATTGAATGGGAAAGAGAGAGGATTGAGAATTCTGGAGAAAGAGTAAAACATCATCTGCATAAAGACTGACCTTATGTTCTATTTTCTTACACTCTATCCCTTTAATATCTGTTGTTTGCCTAATTGCTGCTGCTAGTGGTTCGATAAAAATAGCAAACAGTGAGGGGGAGAGTGGGCATCCCTGCCTGGTCCCCCTCTGAAGACAGAAGCTAGCTGATATTTGGTCGTTTGTCCTGACACGTACTGTTGGTGAACTGTATAATGTTTGTAGCCAGTTTATGAAGAAGTTCCCAAAACCAAATTTATGTAAAGTTGCAAATAAGAACTTCCAGTTAACTCTATCAAAAGCATTTTCTGCATCTAGAGATAATATACTAATTTCTATGTTTCTACTGTAAGAGAAATCTATCAAATTAAGTAATCTACACGAGTTTGTGGATGACTGTCTACCCTTAATGAAACCAGTTTGATCAGGGTGTATTATGAAGGGGGTTACCTTCTCCAATCTTTTTGCCAGGGCTTTACAAATTATTTTGAGATCAATATTAATAAGAGAAATTGGGCGATAGCTGGTAGGAAATGCAGGGTCTTTGCCTGGTTTTAACAAGAGACTAATTTTGGCTGAATTCATGTTTGGCTGTAATCTGCCGCTCTCTTCGATTTCCCTCACCATTCTGAAAAATGTTGGAGCCAAAATGATCCAGAATTCTATGTAGAACTCTGCTGGAAACCCGTCTGGACCTGGAGCTTTCCTATTAGTCATGGATTTAAGGACTTCCTGGAGCTCAGCTGATGTTAGTGGCGAGTCCAGTACTGTAGCTTGGCTGTCTGATAATTTAGGAAGTGTTATCCTATCAAGGAACTCATTGATCTCGTTATCTGATGGGTTTATCTGTGGTGAGTACAAAATTTGGTAAAAATCTCTGAAAGTGTTGTTTATTCTTTCAGGGTCATAAACTATATTCCCGGTTGAGTCTTTAACAGCAGATATGGTAGTTTTCTCTTTATTAATTTTTAACTGGCTAGCTAAAAATTTACCTGATTTATTATTATGTTCAAAGTTTTCTATTTGTAGTCTTTGTGCTAAAAATTGTGTCTTTTTGTCAATAATTCCAAGAAGTTCTAATTTAGCTTTACGTAATTTTCTCAGTAACTCTTCTTCTGTGGATGCCTCTAAAGACTTAATGATTTATTCTAACTCCTAAATATGTTTGTTATCTGTTTTTTTCTTATGTGATGAGAAAGAGATTATTTTACCTCTCATCACTGCCTTTCCTGCCTCCCAGAGAATAGATGCTGATGTTCCAGGCAGGTCATTATGTTCTAAATATAAAGCCCACTCCTTTTTTTAAAAAAAAAAATCAATAAAACCTTCGTCTTTAAGCAGTGATGTATTAAACCTCCAGTTTTTGTTTGGTGGGATTGTCTTCTTGTTTACCAGCGTTAAAGAAACCGGAGCATGGTCGCTGACAGCTATGGGATGTATCTCAGTGTCTGAAATGTCAGCCAACCATGAGCTGCTGACTAGAAAATAATCCAAACGTGAATGAGAGTGATGGACATGTGAGAAAAAAGTATGCTCTCTACGGTTAGGATGAAGAGATCGCCATGCATCACAAAGCCCATAATCACTCATGTACTGTTTAACTATATTAGTGGATTGCCAATTGCGCTGAGTCCCAGCTGTACTGAGCCTGTCTGTTAAAGAGTTAATCCAAAAATTAAAATCACCTCCAAGTATAAGCGGACAGTCCAAGTGTTCGGAGAGTACAGAGAAAAAATTATGAAAGAATGGAGGGTCATCAATATTTGGACAGTATATGCTGATGATAAATAAGCTTTGCTTCTGTATTGATATTTTTAACATTATAAATCTACCCTCTGGATCTGAAATTGTGTCCAATACCGTGAAATTGATGTTTTTGTGTATTAAAATAGCTACACCCCTTTGCCTAGTTATAGCATGCAGAGAACATGCTGGGAAACTCAGGTGTTTTAAGTTCATCTGCAGATGTGGCAGATCTATGAGTCTCTTGTAATAATATTATGTCTGCTTGCACTCTTTTTAACTGATCAAAATTTTTTTTATCTCTTTTCTCTGGAGCCAGCTCCATGTACGTTCCATGAGATAAATGTGTGAGTAGCTATAATATGATACCTTCATGTGTATGAGATAAAATAAGTAATTAAAAGCATACATTAATCTTATAGTAAATAATAGAGAGTAAATAATAAGGGTATTATTACAATCATTATTATCATTTGCAACATGAATAAAAAAATTATAGTAACAACAAAATAATAATAATTTTATTATTATTTTTATATAATATTAATATGAAAATATTAATGCTGATAATGATGAAGTCTAAATAAATAATAATAATAATAATAAAATAATAACAACAATAACAAGACAAGCCCAACAGTGTTTTGTGCAATGAAACGCCTTAGGCTACTTATCCGTGTGACTGCGTATGGAGTCTGTGTGTGTGTGTGTGTGTGTGTGTGTGTGTGTGTGTGTGTGTGTGTGTGTGTGTGTGTGTGTGTGTGTGTGTGCGCGCGCGCAAGTTGTGTGCTGCAGTGTGGAAAGAGGGAAAATAATATTGTGCCATGCAGATGTAAAGACCCAGAAGCAGATAACAAAAGGGAAAGAAAGGAATTATAAAGGTTAAAAAACGAAAAAAAGAAGAAAGAAAAGAAAAAGTGTTGTGGGTGTGAGGTGGTGAGGGAACAGGTGAACATTTCTAAATGGATCTAGCAGCTATCCTGACATGTTCAAACCCAGTGAGTGCTGTTAATAATAATAAAGTTGTACCTGACGTTTGTCTAATAAAGCCAGTCTGTTACTCCTCGTTCTTTGTAGATTTTACCGTCAACAAACAGTTTATCCACGGAGATCACAGCCCGCTTCCCATCCTGGATGAACTTCTTGCGCAGCGGGAAGAGAACTCGGCGGCGAGCCAGAATTTCTTTAGGAAACTGATTGTTTACACTGTAATCTTTACCTTTAAGCTCTCTCCCGCGGCTTTTAACAAGATCTTTCTGCTTAAAGTGCTCAAATTTAGCCACGATGGGACGAGGTCTTCTGCTGTCTGTTCTCCTGGCTCCAAGGCGATGTACCCGATGAAAGGTGATGATTTTAACCGTTTCCTCAGGTATCTTCATGTGGGTGTGGAAAAAGTTCTTGATGGTTTGTTCGCAATCCTCTGCTTCTCCTCCGGTCTGCTCTGGAAGGCCTGCGAACCCCAGGTTGTCTCTCATGCTGCGTGATTGGAGATCCAGAACCGTCTCCTTTAGAGCTTTGTTGTCCTGGGAGATCTGATCTAATCCTGCAGTCAAGGAGGAAACTGATTCCCGCAGAGACGTGTTCTCAGCCGTGAGCTGCTCCACCTGCTCCTGGCTAAACTCCAGAGATGTTCGGAGGTCCAAGAACTCCTTGTGAAGCACCTCTAGCAGGTGGAGTCATCCCTCAAATCCCAGAAGCCGTTTATCTATGGACTGTAGTAAATCTAAGACATCCTTATGGGGAGATGAGGCCTCGGGAGAGTCCTGGGGACGGCTCCTCTTGGTCCCAGGTGTTTCCGTCTCAGCTGCTGCTGCTTTCTTCGGTCCCATGGCAAAAAACTCAAAAACTTTGTCAATATATATTTGCAAACTTTCTAAATTTTCTCCACTTACCTTCAGGTTGAGTGAGTTATATTTACCAGATCTATTAATTTTTTTGCATTGTCAGTGAGTAAATTAGGTGAAAATGTGTCTTAATTGTTTTTGGAAGTTGATTAACAAGCTGCCATGTGCTTCAAACGCCGCCGTGTGTCCGGTGATCGGGCCGTCAGCGCAAGCGCATGCTCTGTTCCTCCTCCAGTTTTTACTTGTGCGTGAACGTGTTCATAAATATAAGAACAGCTCTGACCATGGGTAGGAACAACATTTTTCATAAATTAGGGGTACACACATCCTAAATTTCATTTGTAGGAGGGAATATAGGCACGTTCGTAAGAAGGTTTTGATAAATGAGGCCCCAGGAGTGAACTTTCCCTGTGATGCTCATGCTAGAGAGTATGGATAAAAGAAAGCCATGGTTGACAGTGTCAACTGCAGCCATATGAAAATCCCATTCTCCCTACTCCCTGATGAGTCGTTGATGTTATTAGGACTTATTGTGTTAGAATGATTAGATGCAGGGGGGTGTGACCTAGATTGAAACTGTTTTGGAACTAGGTTCAGAGCTGCATTGTGAAAGGTGAAACCTGAGCCCTCCTCCTCTGTTATATATTATTCCCATATTTCAGTCAGAATTGACAAAGCTCCTCAGATGAGAAGCAAAATATCTTCAAGAAACCAAAGAAGTCCAGTTGCCTTCTTTTGAACCATTTGGACTCAATTTTCTGTGTTACGTAACATTGCATTGGAACATTTACGTTCTTGTTTCCTCACCTCTGAGAACGTGAAGATATTTCCACACATGCTCTGCCATCCCAGGCACAGAAGGGATCTCTGGCAAACACACAGTCATAGCAGGAAGTGTACCTCTGACAGGTGGATATCGGTACCTGAACGACTCCTGAGTGGGAGCCAATGTAGATGCTCCTCTGTGAAAGTAAAGCATGCAAGTACACGCTTAAAACAAAATTTTCATGAATCTTAACAATCTTAACATCCTTCTCAATATATTGTGGAGATAAAAAAAAATAATAAAGTGGTTCTCTGACATTGGGGGCTGGCGCGTATCTCCAGCGGTCAATGGGCAATCAGGCGGGGTACACCCTGGACAGAGAGCCAGTCCATCACAGGGCAACACAGAGACACACAATCATGCAAACACACACTCACACCTAAGGACAATTTAGACAGACCAATTAACCTAACAGTCATGTTTTTGGACTGTAGGAGGAAGCCGGAGTACCCAGAGAGAACGCACGCATGCACAGGGAGAACATGCAAACTCCATGCAGAAAGATCCCAGGACGGGAAGCGAACCCAGGACCTTCTCGCTGCAAGGCAACAGCTCTAACCACTGCGCCAGCCCTTTATTGTATTTATCCTAGTGAATCTATTATTAAACAGTTAAATTACTAGTAGCACATTCAATGTCAATGACAATTCCTGATGAAGGTCTTTTGACCAAAAGCTTGAGAACAATAAATATTACATTATCACAGATTGAAGTGTGTGGATTTTGTTCCTCATTATCGGGAGAGGGGAAATGTTTAAGTGATTTGCAGCAGTCTGCAAGCCCACTGTCCCCCCCATGAGGTCACCACAGCTCAGCAGAACACCATTGTAGTTTCTTCCAGGGACAAAAATTCTTTAGTAGACAAGTAGACAAGGTGTCTGCCTCATCGACTAAAGATGGGAGCTGGTCCCACAAGAGAGGAGCCTGATAGCTAAAAGATCAGCCTCCCATCCTATTTTTAGATATTTTGGAAACCCCCAGTTATCCTGCAATCTGAGAGCGAAGTACTCTGTTAGGAACATATGGAACAATCAGGTCACTGATGTATGCTGGAGCTTGATTATTAAGAGCTTTATATGTGAGAAGGAGGACATTAAAATCTATTCTGAATTTAACAGGCAGCCAATGTATAGAAGCTAAAACAGGAGAGATACGATCTCTCATTTTAATTCTCATCAGAACTCTAGCTGCAGCATTTTGGACAAGCTGAAGACTTTTACCTACATTCTGTGGACTTCCTGAAAGTAATGAATTACGGTAATCCAGTCTTGATGTAATAAATACATGAACTAGTTTTTCAGCATCGCTCCAAGAAAAGATGCTTCTAATCTTAGCAATATTTCGAAGGTGGAAGAAAGAAATCCTACAAACCTGTTTAACGTGGGATTTGAATGACATGTCCTGGTCAAAGATAACACCAAGGTTCCTTACTTTGGTCTCGGAGATTAATTCAATGCCATTCAGGTCAGATGACTGACTAAGCAATTTCCTTTTCTGAATTTTGGGTTCAAAGATGAGACCTTCAGTTTTTTCTTGATTTAAAAGCAGAAAGCTTAGAGTCATCCAATTTTTTATTAAGACAAGCCTGTAATCTACCTAACCGATTAGGTTCATCAGGGTTAAAGCCTGGATCATACTGTGCAATTTGTGGCCGTCTTAGCCAGATCCCTCGTCGGGAGCATAATTGTGTAAAAAAGTAGTGAACGTGAGGGTGATTTGCAAATTTGTGGTCATCCAGTCTGACCAACTCTGCGACAGCTTTTAGAGTCATCCCAAGACCAAAATCAGCCTCCGACAGTTTACAAGCACTGCTTGAAAACCTACAATTCCTGTCTGCAACCGACCAATGAAAACACACCTTTGGAATGCCGCTGAAAAGAAGATTATTGGTCACCTTTCACAGTTAATACTTCAAGATCATTTAAGTGAGTTGTTAGCACTCAAGCATTTGTTGTGAATAACTCTCAGCTACGACACAAGACTTTTGTTCAAAATTGTCCAAATTTCTGAGTTATGGACATTTTTCTGACGCCAAAAGTTAATCCGTAGCTAATGTTAACTCGGTCACTTCCTGAACGTTTCATTCAAATCTGTTCAGGGGTTCATGACCTACTTTGCTAACACTATAGAAACACACACACACACACACACACACACACACACACACACACACACACACACACACACACACACACACACACACACACACACACACACACACACACACACACACACACACACGCACACATGCACACATCTCCACGTTGCAGGATAAACCCAAGAAATTGTCCTCAGAAGGTAATGAATACAGGCTCCACATGAGCGCACACGCATGCATACACACATGCATGCATACACACATGCATGCATACACACGCGCGCGCGCACACACACACGTAATGAATCATAACTCACAGATGGATTTATTAATTAGGAGGAAATGTTACAAACTGAATTTAATCAGTTTTTCATCAAATGATCAACTTTCCCATATATTTTAATGACTTCAGGCATTCAAACATGATTTACATGTTCCAGTGTACTAACTAATTGGAAATATTCACATTCCTTTATTTGCATGACACAGCTATTTAATCCTCATGATAATAACAGAGTGTGAGTATTTATAACTACCTGAGCTCGGGAAATGACCATGTTCTCCACAGGCTGTGGTTTGTCAAATATCTGCAGCTCCTCTATGATGTGCATTTGTCCATCAACATCTACAGCTCTGTGCAGCCATCCATCATCTACAAAAGAAAAAGGCACAGTAACGTTAAACCACGATGGTGGACATCTTCACTGCGCTGATTTCTGAACAAACTTCACCTGTTCCTAAGAACAAAACAGTATACAGATTCCCATCCAGGGCTGGCTCCTTGTGCACCACGATCTTCACATAGTTGACGCTCCTCTTGAACATGAGTGGGCGCTTGCCCATGGAGTGCACCTGATTGGCCATCAGCGGGTGCCTCCGGGCGAAGGTGAGGACGTTGTCTGGGAGGTCTCGAGATGAGTTTATGTTCTGGGATCTATGCAGATCTGTTATACACTGTAAAGAGAAACAACCCAAACATTACAGCAGAATGATAAACCCTCTGGTCGGATGAGAAGGAAAGGATGACACTTACAGATCCCGGCCTAGGCTCTGGAACTTTTCCCGTGTATTCCCTCCACTTTGAATCCTGCACCTCCATATAAGGTCCTTCGAAAACTTTGTGCACATCTGAGAAGGAGTACTGGCAGATGGCAGAAGCTTTGATATTCTTCCTGAAATATAATCCAACACCCCAAATACATGTCCAGAGGACACACTCAGGATTAATGATTCAGAGATGAAGAAACACAGATATCTAAGAGGAAACTACAGACAGGATCCAGTTTCAGACACCGCTCAGATCATCGGTGAGAAGTACAGAGATTACCCAGGACTGATCTGGTTTCTCTAAATACAGCGTATTCATCACCCAAACCAAGAGGAAGCATCTGTTTTCAACACCAGACTTATGAAACTAAACTGACTCGATTTCCTCTGAGTCATAAACAAAACCACTCTGTGGGTTTTTTTGTGCCACACCTGTGAAAGGAATTATTAATGAAGAACCAGGTGACTCGTTTAGTCTCACGCCCTAAAGGTGAGATTAGTAATGGGGGGGTGACATTTTTAAACTATTTGTGTCCCACCTCAGTGTTCAAGAGCATTCATGTAGGAAAAATGAGAACCAAGTGAAACCAGAGTCAGTCTTGAAACCTGGCGAGTGGTATTGCTCAGGGGCTTCCTCACTATACTGCATGGCTGAGTTGTACTCACACAGGTGCACTTTTAGTTGTTTTTTGAGGGGGAGGGGAAAAAAGCAAGAATAAAGTGTGTCTTTGTAAAGAATTTAATGGTCAAACTGATAAGAGGTGAAGAAAGAGAAGAGCCTGAAAGAATGAGATGGATAGGATTAATGATGCATGGCAATGCTGTTCTCTTCATCAGAATCTAAACACCCTTGGGACAGCTATATGCAGCATGACTCGGCACATCAGCATAAACACACTCTCATATTAGTGCCAGAATTTCTGCCGGCGGTCGTTTTCCTCAGAGACCTGCACATTAGCTCTGACTGCTTCTTCTTTTACAACAGCCCACTTTTATTAAAGCATCATTTTATATCATGAATGAATCTGTTTTGTTGTAATTCCAGGAGACATTTTTATTAGGCTGAGATGTTGTGAAGCAAAAATATAATATAATGAATTATGTATTGAAAATGTAATTCGTGATCAGTGTTTTTAGGGTTAAATATAACTGGAAATAATTATTGTTCGACAATTTTCAGGCAAAAACGTATTTTTATGGTGTTATCGGAGTTACAAAAGCAGATTGTTCATGTTATTTTTGTGTGTTGCCATTAAACCCTCAAGGTTTACAAATGAGTAAAATGCTAATTAGAATTCAAGGCTAATTAAAAGATCTCTCTCAGTTAAAAAATGACAGAAAACCACACATATTTTGAAACTCTCCTTTTTAAACTTACCAGTTAGGATAATGAAAAGCGATTTTTACATTTTCATGTAATAATTTTATGAAATTGTTTAATTTTTAAGAGATTCTTGACACTAAAATTTAAAAGTGTTATTATCTAGACAATATTATATAAAATTTTAGGCATAAATCCCAAATTGGTCTAGTTTCTTTCTTTTTTTGCTGATAAACTACAAGTGAGTGTCTAATAATGCTGTAGAGATGAATGTCATTATTTTTGATTGCAAAAATGCATACATTTATTATAATTAAATTGGAAGTTTCTTTGACATTTTGAAGTAAAGTAAAGTAAAGTAAAGTAAAAGTTTATTTATATAGCGCCTTTCACAGATATAAATCACAAAGGGCTGTACAACATGATAAAGATCGGGGCAAATACCTCTAACCAATAAAAACATCAGAAAAACAATAGCAGTGATAAACGTAGAAAATACAATCATGAGTATAAACAAAGTGAAGGTGTGAACCCGATAATATACTAATTTCTATGTTTTTGAAACATTTGGGGAGTCAGGATTCTTTTAGAAAAGAGAAAGGTGCACTTTGGATGGAGTCATTCCCAGACTAGTATTTAGCGCATTTTAACTTTTTTTGTTAATTTGTAATTATTTAAATATTTTTCAAATAATGACATAAAAACATAAGCTTTGAAATCTAATATCAATGAAAAAGGTGAAAAATATTAGTGAAAAATCATCAACATCAACAAGAAAAGAAATGTCTGGCCTGGTTTGTTGTTTTGTTTGAACCCAAGAGTCTCATTACCTGTATTTCAGAAATGCTTTGGAGCATGAAACAAGCTCAGTGTAATGATGAAAATACAAAAACAGTGGAAAACAATAAACTTCCAAATGTTATATCTTAGTGTTAATATGTTTTGGATTTCATGTTTTTATTGATTACGTGTTCAAGATGTTTTACTGTCTCAGCTTTTGGGGTGGCCAGCCTATTGGCAGTCCCCTTTGGACCCGCACATGGGGAGGTCAATCACTGACCCAGTGCTCTCTAGGTCCACCAGGCAACACCTCTTCTAGGTGCATTTTTTTAACACCCAGGGTGTGACTTACCCTTTAGAGTTATTATAGTTAATCTATTTAAGGTTTAATTTGTGGTTTCCTGCAATGATTGTTGAATAATTTTTCAACTTTTTTATTTATTTTTTTTAACAACCAAAGATATTTCTTGTAATAACAGAGGTATGTGACCACACACAATTGCCTTTTTGGTTATTTTCAATAGAAATTCAGCCTGTTATAGCAAATTTACAAAACAAGCTAGGTTTTGAAAGCAAACACTGATATGGAACACTCAACCCTCTCTGCGAGTATCTTCCCTGAGACGCTTCTACCGAAACAGGAAACCTGCATTGCTGTATACGAGATAGCGCTATACCAGTCACAGTTTTCTAGGTCCGAGCGTCTTTTGTTGTCCGTGACTTCAAATGGTGTTTGCCTTTTTGGGACTCTGGTAGTTTGTCCTAAAGTTGAAGTGGCAGCAGCCGGCTGTTTCTCCTTCTATGATACTATTGAGCGGAGAACCTCTCACACCAGTGGTGTTCTGGTTCTAAATACGCGAGTGTGTAATGAATGAAGGACTCAGGGAAGTGTGGCAGTTTAGCAAAACTGACAACGGGATAGTCTGATGGTTGCTTTAGGTCTCAAAGTTGTTGTTGACAGAGGTTTTAAGACAAATGCGACAAAATCACTTTATTCCTTTATTTCATCTCCACAATATATTTATAGCTATATTATGTTTTACTATTTACTGCATATACTATACTAATGTTTTATTTTACTAATGCAATTGTTTTCCAAATTTGCTATAGCAACTTTAAAGAATAAAAATAAAATTCTTCACTATTTTCCACAAACAGAATTAGGAGATTTTCTTTGAATGAGGAGAGGCAAAGGATACAACAGTCAGCATGTGTGTGTTTGACTGAAGATTTGCAGCTCTATGATGCCAGATGTCACTCAAAACCAATCAGCCTTGTTTATCACTGGGAGTTTTTATTTTTTATTACATAAAATAACATAATTTGTGAATGTTTTCTACTCTTGAGGGTGCAATACGCCACCACATATATGGGTAACATTTTACAATACAGCTAATAAATAGTTTATAGATATAAAATTAATTAATTTGTAACATTTAATACACCATTAATGAGGGTTTATGCATTAATTGTGATAAAGAGAATGTCACAGCTTTACTGCAAAATAGTGAGTCAAATCTGTTTTCTTACGCTCATCTTTAATTAATGCATAATAAACACTTATCAGTGATCTATAAAATGTTACAGATACATTTATTACATGTGGATTAACTATTTATTAGCCATTTCTAAGCAGAGCCTTACTGTAAAGTGCTACCCATAAATGTTTAGATTAAAGCTCCTCTCATTTGACTATGGATCACCATTTGGCTTTTATTTATATTTATATGTTTTACTGAATTTTGTATGCAACTGTTCAAACAGATATAAGGATCTATCTGGTCAAACCAATAACATGGGACAAGATTCAGGCTCATAACTTTGTAGAATTGAAGCTTTCAGTGATAACAAATGTTTACATGAGAAGGATTCTGACTAAATAACTTAAGGAAATTCAAATTGATGTAACATGTTTTTTTTATTCCAAAAATAAAAGAAAATACAGATTCTGACAGCATTGATTTGCCATGTTTTTGGCAAGCCATTTGTGAATTTAACCAAAAAAAGCTTGGTTGCATTGCTTTGTCTTATGGCTGCAGGAATTAGTAACAAAAATGGCTTCCCATAGTTCTCTTGTGTTTGAATCTGATCCTAGCTACGCTAGAAAGCCATTTGGGCTCCAGAGAATATGCTGCGTTCCATTTGTCTTGGAAGCTGGAAACCAGTAGCTCATTGTGGTGACTGTTAGCTACAGTTAATAACAAATCACATTTTAGGCATTTTAACACCTTAACAAACTAACAGAGATGCAATTAGTACAATTAAATAACAAATCACATTTTAGGCATTTTAACACCTTAACAAACTAACAGAGATGCAATTAGAACAATTAAATAGCTAGCATATTACTGCAGATGTCTACACACTGGGGCTGGTGGTGACAAACATTATTTTTTCTGAATGGGAAATTCTGACTTCTGAAGGGAATTTTAGTACTTTTTTCTGCCTAGGAAAAGCTTGATGTCAAACTAAAATTTTCAGCCAAAACAAAGAGAAAAACAGAAATAAGTAAGCATCTCTCACCATTCCAGACCAAAGATGCCATAAAAAATGCTGCTTTGAGCATCTCGCCCTTGCAGAACAAAAACATCACGCAGGATATTGAGGTGCAGCTCATATTCTGGGACAGAGCACACCATTCTGGCTTTGAGGAAGGTTGTCCACTTCCTTTGCAAAGTCCTCTGTCCTCCCCAGTCATTCTGGAAGAATAGAGAGAGAAGAGAATAACTAACTCCATAAAGACATGACTGAGCATGTCACATCCACATTAGTAAACACATGCAGGGGCAGATGATGGAAGTTGGGGTCTTATAAAAGTATCTATGGAAACTCAGACTGTGACTAGTTTGGTGCATTCGCTCTAATTGCATTTCAGCAGCAGCGGGAGGCAAGGAAGCTCAGCGCATCTCAGCAAAAGAGTCACTTAATGCACCTCATTTAGAGAAGAGGAAACACAGAGATGGAGGCTCTTTTTCTCTGCGTTACCCTGAATATTATGGTGTCATCTTTCTGTGTTTGTGTCTTTGGGGGACATCTGCAGTTCATCAAAATGCACTGCCTGCCTCAGCCTCCCACATGCAAAGGAAAAGTCGCTAAAATCAACATAGCACACACAGAACCAACACGTTTGGATCCTTCCATCAGCACAATGTCTTACAGGTGAATTTTTCCATAAAATCAGTATCACCAAGGGCTTTTACTCAAGTGGGGTTAAGGACAATACAGAAAGTAAACAATCTTAGGGATTATTCTAGGTCAATATTCTGTGCTGAGTTTAACAGGTGTACTGGCAGATTACAATTGATGTTAATCAAAACACTAGAAGGAAGTAAGAGTAAAATAAGCAAAGCAATGCAATAGTTGCCTGTGGTAAATACCGTAGTCTGCTCATCAGTCAGAGGGAATAAAAGCTCATGATGAAGTTTTTCTATATTCATTATAGAGATAAATAGAACAGCCAAATGACCAGCGCTCAAACGGTATCTCCAAATGGCAGACATTTCTGCTTTTGGGTCATTGAAAACTCTTTTGTCATTATTAGCTTCTGTGTGAAAATAGGCCATGATTGACAAGAAACTTAGTGAAGATAAGTAACTTTGGTTGCAAAAGATGACAAGTCTTCTGGGGTTTCAGGCCAGAGGCAAATGTCAGTCTTGTCTATCTGCAGCTCCTCCTGCAACCACTGTGGTGTCTGGCTGCCACGGGGGCTGAGCTGGCTGGGGACCGGCTCGACATCTGCATTTGTTGCTGTGGCCTAGTTCAGACTGAGTTATTGCACTCTCAACTGTTCTGACAACTCCACAGCACTGATGAGGCGAGATAAAGAGGGGAACTTTTTCTAGAAATAACTTTTTGGGGGGGTTGGAAAGAAAACCAAGAGAATTTCAAATGTTGGCAGTTTGAAAAAGTTAAGAATGATTTCAAGAAAGTGAAAAGTTTAGAAAATTTCACTCCATGGAGTTGCATAATAAGATTTTGAAATAAATATATGATATAAGGATTAATATAAAGACTGTGCTGTTGTGTATTGACTTGCTGCGGTCGTGGGCGGAGATTCACCGAAATTAACTGTTTCATTTTCGGGTATAAATTCAAGCTGACAAAAATAAGTCTACTTGAAATGTAAGTTTGTTAAAAATAGCCACAGAAAAAGAAAAAGCTTAAAGCTTAATCAGTCACTCTGAGTTTTTAATGCGGCTGAACATCAAAATAGTCCCCTACACCGATCTGCTGCATTAGCTTCTGATAGAAAATAGATGGTGAAACTCTAGGATTTGAAAAGCCTGACAGCGTGGCATCACACTGTCACATGTTCTCACCAATCATGACTCATGACGGGGAATGCTGTTGTTGTTTTAGTATCCAGGAAACAAGAGCACATCTAAGCTAGCAGAAGCTAACCATTAGCATTAACTAATTCGCTGCCAGCGTTTCTCACCGTTTTTACTGTTTTTTTAAGAGTCACAGAACGTTGCGCGCTAGGATGTCAACGACAAAACTAACAAAACAAAACAAACTCTTACATCAGGAAGAATTCATGCTTTTCAAGCGTTATCCGTTCTTTCATAATCCGTTGTTGAATTGTGATCGGCAGAAGCTTTTCCGGTTCGCGCCTCACTATTTTTTACAGCAACGGCTTAAAAACAATCTCCTAACGCATGGATTTTCTGCTTCCTGGTCACGTGACGTGTGACGTATGCGGATGAAGATCAGCTTTAGAGCTGGGATGTTTGTTTTCATGGTGCGGGGGCTAGTTCCGATGCCCACACAGTAAAAAAAATGTAAATGACGACTTTAGTCATCATTGGCAGTGAACGGTTGGATTTAAAAGGACGACTTTAGTCATCAATGGCAGTGAATGAGTTAACAACTCCACCACATGGCAGAACACCAGCAGGCTTGTTTTATTCGTGAAAATAAAACATTAATGTTGCAGAGCTAACAGTCAGTGGTAGAGTCTTGCTGTTGTCCAGTCGGAGGTGAGATGTCCAAATATCGGGAAGTAAGGCTCCAAATCCTGATGTCTGAAGCTCTCCTCTGATCTGGCAATCTGGCAACAGGCACACCAGGGCATTTTTGTACCCAGATTACGACTTACAAGGCATTAATTCCTAACTCAGCAAATGTGTTGAATAAACGACTGAACCACACCTTTAACTAAATCGAGGATGATTCCAGACAGGTTCAAAATGCCCTAAATCCCATTGTGCAAAGACCTAGTCTGGACGTCCTACAGACGTTAACTGTTTGCAGGGATTATTCCGTCATGATTTTAATACGAAATTGTTCACTTGATTTATTTTAAACCGTTGAAATTCCAGGCCCTATGAATCACACAACATAACACAGAACCTTCATAAACTGTTTAAAACATTTTGAAAACCCTTTGAAAATGGTGTTCGCAATTCCTTGGCAACAGTCACAGCTCAGGGAGATGCTGGCTTTAAACATGAAGCAGTGGAGAGCATTTGCTTTAGCATTATCATTTCCACCTACTCTGCTTCTGTAAAGGCCAGAATCTCACTGGGCTGAGACTGTAGGAGACAAATTGCAAATGGCATTTTCAAAATGTTTCCAGTTTCTTTGCCTGAGCTACTTGGCCTTGTTTCTGTGTTACTGAATGTTTTTAATTTGCTCACAATATTTGGGAGACAAATATCTTTTGAAAGCTGTCACTATTGTTGCGGATGTCTCAAACCCATCCCAACCTCAATGTGAGACAATTTTGGGAGGGAATGGTGACAGGCCTCACTGGAGACAACAAAAGAGAATGTCATCCTCACCTTTATTTAAATCAAAATAAAATGGTAAATGGCCTGTATTTGATATACCGCCTTCTAGAGTCCTGGAACCCCCCAAGGCGCTTTACAACACAATCAGTCATTCACCCATTCACACACTGGTGGGGATGAGCTACGATGTAGCCACAGCTGCCCTGAGGTGCACTGACAGAGGCGAGGCTGCCGAGCACTGGCGCCACCGGTCCCTCCGACCACCACCAGCAGGCAACGTGGGTTAAGCGTCTTGCCCAATGACACAACGACAGCGACAGACTGAGCGGGGCTCGAACCTGCAATCTTCCGATTACGGGGCGAGCACTTAACTCCTGTGCCACCATCAACCCAATAAAATGTAGTGCCCTCTTATCTAGCTAAGGTAAAGAAACAGGTCAATAGCAAACTTAAAAAGAAGTAAAAACAATAAAATCACATGAAATATCTGGTGGACCAAAACTCAAGAAACTTAATAAAATCAGGAAAAATGGATAAAGGATAAATTACATCCCTTTGTAACTTTAATGGTCATGAAATGCTGGGTGGCTGCGCAGTGGTTAGAGCTGTTGCCTTGCAGCGAGGAGGTCCTGGGTTTGATTCCTGGTGCTCTTTCTGCATGGAGTTTGCATGTTCTCCCTGTGCATGCGTGGGATCTCTCTGGGTGCTCCGGCCTCCTCCCACCGTCCAAAAACATGACTGTTAGGTTGATTGGTCTGTCTAAATTGTCCTTAGGTGTGTGTGTGTGTGTGTGTGTGTGTGTGTGTGTGTGTGTGTGTGTGTGTGTGTGTGTGTGTGTGTGTGTGTGTGTGGTTGTTTGTCCTGTGTATCTCTGTGCTGCCCTGCTATGGACTGGCTCTCTGACCAGGGTGTACCCCGCCTACTTGCCCATTGACTGCTGGAGATAGGCACCAGACCCCCCCCCCCCCCCCCCCCCCCCCCCCCCCCGGGCCCTCAGTGGACAAAGTGGGTTGAGAAGATGGATGGATGGATGGAGATGATGGACAAAAGTTGTATAAATCTTGCATTTTAATTGTAGTTTTGGCATGACTGAAAGTGATATGAGCACCAAGTCAGTATGATTGTAAATGCAAATTTGCAGGTTTTCTTGCAATTTTGAGCCTCTAATTTGCTGTCAACTGCTGCAGCCCAGCAAGATCCTGGCTCAAGCTTTCTGATAATAAATTCTGTCTCTCTTTTGTTTTTTACAGTTTTCCACAAGAATAAATTCACCACACCACCAGTCACTTCTTTGATTGCTGAAACAGAAATCTCAATCTAAAGCACAATGTGACTTGTAGTTTTCCTGAAAACAGGTCGCATAAAACAAGTTTAAAAACAAAAACTATGATTAGAGGTGCCCAACTGCTACTTTATTCAGTGCTGAAATTACTATAAGAGGTGAGCGGCAGCTCATTTCACCCTGCACCACTCTCATAAATCACCAAACTCACGTCTGGCACCTTTTCTCCCACTTCATCTTGACATTTCTTTCCATAATCTTTCAGTTTCAGATGTTGGTTATTTTGGGTTAAAATACAGCCATAGTTTTGTGGTGTCTGATATTTTCATCAGTTGTGATTTCTGACCTTGCAGACTCGGGCGACCCGCGAAACTTTGGTCTGGGTCGGGTAAGCAACCTGCTCCTGGCTTCTCTCAGTGAAGAAGAAGTAAATCTTGTCATCGTCACCGATAGAGCTGTTGATGCTCTCTTTCAGCAGCACAGATCCTACAAAATCTGCCTCTGAACACACACACACACACACACACACACACACACACACACACACACACACACACACACAACACACACAAACAAAGACCTATTAGAAGCACTGAAAGTGCCTCCTTGGAAACTGAACAAAGAGCTGTATGTACGATTGGATCACAGTGCAACTAAAGACAGAGCTATAGAGCTGTGCATCTTTTACGTTCCTTACTTACTTTCAAAGGAATGGAAAATGGTTCTATTAACTTTAAAGGAAGCACACATCATTATTTAGTTTATCTGTGCACTATTTACCTAGAAGCCAGCGGGTTGGGGCTTCCTCTGTCCTGAGGGTAGGGAAGGGGAAGTTTCTTCGGATGTCTGGTGAACTCCGAAATTCATACTGAGAGGCCGTGAACATTTCACCATCTGTTTAACAAATAAAAATTTAAAGGGTTAGAAGAAGACAGACTAACAGGACTTTTTGGTCTTCTATAACAGTGTTTTGTACAAAGGTTATCAAACAATTACTATCGTGCAGATTCATTCCATTCCTGAATGACTTCACAAGCTGAGCCTGAAGTATTTAGCCTAGCTGCTCATTAAACTGCTTTGTATCTTATGAAGATGTGTATGAGTGTAGATAATGATTAACTTGTTAAATCAAACACATACTGATAATAAGATCTGCAATGGATCATTGTAAGAGCAATATTTGTTTCGACTTCATCGATTTAAGCACACATTTGATTTAAACATCTTGTTCATTCAACCATATGATTAATTAATTTATACATTGTAAAGCCTTGTAGGATTCATATAAATTCACTTTTTTTATTCAGAGTGAGGAATCCAGTAGTCTGACTTTTACACATAGAGAGAAGGGCTTTTGCGGGAGACCTTGACAGTTTATTTTGCCTGCATTGAAGAACAATAAGTGAGCAAAGGGTTGATTTGTGAGTCTGGATCCTCCAGATGGTGCAACCTTGACTTTGCAGCTCTGGCGTGTATGAAAGGTTATGCTGTGTCAATTAGATGGTGAAATTGACCCTTTTGATTCACAACATATCCCCCCTTTTCAAGGACACAACGTCTTGGCAGAAAACCACGAGTCGCTGAACAATTCCAGAGGCCCTGAGGACTCAGCAGAGGAAGACAAAGTTAGTTCCCAGGCACCGAAGCATCAGGAGTGAGGAAAAGCAACCCCCCACACAGAAGAATAGTCAATAGATATCTGAATCATGAAATAGTAATCCCACTCAGCGAAATCCGCAAGCAGGAACCATGATGAGCAGGAAACGGACCAGATCCCAGCAATCCACAGCAATCCGAAGAAATTCAGGAAACCACAGCCGGAAAACCATAGGACGTCCAGAACCAGAAGAACCGGAACCCCGAGCAGATTATGTGAACATTAAAAATAAAAGCCTCCAGCCGGGTGTAATCATTTACAATCTCACCCTGCTGGCAGTCAATGAACGACCCCACACCATTGGATGTCAAGCTTATCAGGAAGATTTTGTCCTGGAGAGTTGCTTCAGGAAATCTGTCAGAATGATTACTAAGGTCACAGAGATATGCATGAACCGGGTGTGAGCTCCCTGAGCGAGGATCAAATCCCTTGATGCTGCGTAACATCTGGTAGATATCAGCAGTAGTGATAGGTGGAAAAAAGAAATAGCGATTAACTTTATGAGGAGATTTTACATCTTTTGTCCTCTCATCATTAGAGGAGAGAACGGGAAGCTGGTGAAATAAATCACTTGGATCTGCACTTAACCTCTGACCTAACATGGCGCAATAACTCAGCCCAGATCATTAGAAGCGTTCACCAATGGCTTAATTTCCTGAGGAAGCTAAAGGGAACACTGGTCTTCATGCTGTATATCTTTAGAGGAGAGTGTCCTGACGTCCCCCATAACTGGTCTGGAACCTCCTCTGAGTCCGACAAGGAGGTGCTGCAAAGAGCAGTCATACCCAATCAAACACAGATCAAAAAGCTTCCTTTTTATAGAAGAAATTCATATCAGCAGATGCAGAACCAGACAAAATAAATATTCACCCTTCATCCCTCAGGTACAAGACTGAGCAGCCTCTGCTCTCCGTAGCAGCTTCTACCTTGAGGCTCATGATGTTTCTTTAAGTAGTCGTCCTCACTTTGCACTACAGTAAGATTTTATGTCTTAAGTACTGCCTTTTGGGATTTTATCTTAACTGGTCTGAGTAACACATCTCCTCCTGAATCTCTAGCAGGCTGAGAAAAGGCAATGAATAAATCTGAGTCTGGGTCTAAATGTAACGTTTCAGAGATTGGAGCAGCAACACACTTTAGTCTGGGGTGTGCCCCAACTCCGACTAGACTTTAGCTCATCATGCTCGTACGTTGTAATCTGTCTCCCTGCACAAAGTCTGTTCAGGATGTGTGCAATGTAATGAATTTTCATCTTTTTACTAAGCGACTCAGCGAGTCAGCAGTAAAAATTCCTCATGTAAAAGATGGTGGAGGAGATAAGTCTGCAAAAAGTAAGTATGATGAACTTTGGATTTGTTCAAAGAAGGTTTGCAACCTTATATAGCTGCTGGCTTTGTGGTTTTGTTTGTTAATGTTTTTATGGTTTTATTAAAGGGTTTTCTAAAACATGTTTATGAAGTTCTTTGCACTATCTCTCTCACATAAAGAAATTTCAGCAGTTTCATTCATTTGAGAGTTCTGTCACTTTAAGTGAAACGAGATGGAGCTGGCCACACCCACTCATCCCATGCTCAGGCTGCTATAAGCTGAAAAGCTCTGTTATCTGGGAGGGGTTTGGAGAAGAGTTGCTGCTCCTCCAGTAGCAGATCTCTCTTGCAAGTGAGAGGTGATTCTGTACTAATTTCCCTGTTGTGAGTCACAAACCTTGAAATTGCCTGCTTAAACACAATTCCTAAAACCAAACACTGACAAAAATGGATGGATATAGAGGCAGTAGAAACCTAAATGGCAGCACAAAAGTAAGCAAGGGGCTTGTTTTGCATAATATGACCCCTTTAAAACTATTAGTCTTCAAATTTCAGGAAGTTGACCATGATATCTGAATGACGTCATGAATATTCAGCAGAAGAAGAACCGATTAAATATAAACAACAAACCAATGAGGAGGCCGGTGTATCCTTTGGCTGGGTCATATGGACACCTGTCTCTGCCCTCTTCAAAATCGGAAGAGAAGTTGAACCTCCCTGAATCCTTATAAGAAGTTACCAAAAAACAAATTAATTAATTGTTTTCTGTTATACCTTCCAATCACATCTACTTAGGTGTTATATTTCATAAGGTCTTACTATATAAGCACAGAGAGGTTTGAAGGCATTTGTCCCACAGACATACAGGTGAGTTTCATTATAGTGCTGCAGAAAGCGGATGTGGTTGTAACACTCTGTCTGCAGAGAGCAAAGAAAAACAGGTTATTTTTGCCTCTACAACAAAAAAGGTCAGTGCATGCAAATAATTATTACACAAGTTATTTTTAAACAGCCACCCTGCATTGTTGAGCATTTGTGTTGCTGAGACGTAAAACCACAGGGCAAATGAAAAGATTATGTTCTTCGTTGGTTGTTATTTTACTCCCTAAGACACAAACTGTATAAAAGCATTATTTCCATAAATAAAGCATAAAGAGGTTGATGGAGGCTGCGGGCTTGTACCTGATTGTCTCTGCCTTTGTTCAGACACTGCTTCTTCTGTTCAGGGATAGTGTTCCAATTAATCTGAAAACAATGGGATGTAATGGGGATGACTCAGTCAGATCAATATGAAAAAAGGGGCCAATTGATTGATAGGCTCTACAGATAAACATGAGGGGTAGAGATATAAATAAAGAAAAATAAATGTGTGAATGTCTGAGATAAGCAGGGGAAAAGAAAATAGCAGCACACTTAATTTTCTGCCTGCATCAATACATTTAGCCTAGTTACTTTGTTGAATAAATGGCTGATGCATTTAAGCCAATATCTATAGAAAACTGGACAAACACAATGGGGTTTAGTCAGTCTGCATAAAGGCTAGTATTAGCTTCTTCTCCTTCAATCGTTCTTTCAAAATGCGTAAAATTGGATTTGCTGTTTCATCCTTAAGATTGGAGGCTGGAAGCGCCATGTGAAGTCACTCACTGTGGGGTTTGCAGGTGTGGAGATGTTGGAGGTGTTGAGAGCGTATAAAGCTCCTCTGCCTCCCACATAAAGAAGCCCAGAATCCTCCTCTAGCAGCAGGGTGCTGTAGTTCTGAGAAGCGCCGGTGAAACGATTGCTGCCCAACATACCTGGAAATAAATGATGCATGTCAGGACAAAAAGGGTCCAAAAATATGTGAGCATTCTTCAACATACAGATGTTTAGCATCACTGTAAAATAGGGAAAGCTGTCAGAGTAGAACTTTTTGTGTCAACTTTGAATCTTCAAGGCTCTTTGAGGTTCTATGGTTCAGACATACAGGTGAAACTTCAAAAATTAGAATATGCAAAAGTTCATTTATAACATTTATATCAGTGATTCAAACTCGACTGAGAGACCATCTAAAGGCTCAGGAACTCTTTGCTGGTGTTCTGGATTCTTTAGCTGATTAGAATGAGACACTTTGTGAACCTTTTTCACAATATTCTAACTGTCTGTGATTTAGAATGTGTGGTTTTCATCAGCTGTAAGCCATAATCATCACAGTTACAACAAGTACAGGCTGAAATATATCTGGCTTGCATTTAATGAGTTTAATCTCATTGGTTAGTTTCAGCTTTTAAGTTGAATTACTGAAGTAAATTAACTTTTGCACCATAATTAAATTTTTCACCAGCACTTTATAAAAGTGTTTCGGTTTATTTATGTTTTTGTTGTTTAACAGATATAAATAAATCTAAACAATACTGTGAAGTTCTAAAAGTTCTACTCGAATAATTATTTCTTTTTTTTAAATATCACCAAAACTTAAATGGATCACAATAAATTAGGCGTTACTTGGCTAAATTGGAATGTGGTGTATTTATTAGTTTTTTACATAATGACAGTTTAGGTTTTGTGATTCTTTGATCTGTATCAAAAAATAATTTGTTGTATTTTATGAACCAGTTTTACAAAAGTTTCTCTGAGAAACTAATCCTACATTCCTTTATTAGTTTGTAGATCAAAACTTACACGTTTTTGTTATTTTTTCATCCAATGCATCTCTCACTGCTGTAAGTCTTGCTTTCTTCCCTCAAATCAACCCTAAATCCTCACTGACTTAGAAAAAATATTAGAGTTAAGTAAAGTATCTTCAAAACTGGAAGTGAAAATCTTTTCAGCCGGACAAATTTTGTGGACTCTGGAGACTGGAACACTTGTGGGGACTCTGGAGACTGGAACACTTGTGGAGACTGGAACACTTGTGGAGACTGGAACACTTGTGGAGACTGGAACACTTGTGGAGACTGGAACACTTGTGGAGACTGGAACACTTGTGGGGACTGGAACACTTGTGGGGACTGGAACACTTGTGGGGACTGGAACACTTGTGGGGACTGGAACACTTGTGGGGACTGGAACACTTGTGGGGACTGGAACACTTGTGGGGACTGGAACACTTGTGGGGACTCTGGAGACTGGAACACTTGTGGGGACTCTGGAGACTGGAACACTTGTGGGGACTGGAACACTTGTGGGGACTCTGGAGACTGGAACACTTGTGGGGACTCTGGAACTTGAGACTTGTAAGACAGGGACTATGGAACTTGAGAGTTGTAAGATGGGGACTCTGGAACTTGAGACTTGTGAGACAGCAACTTCGAGACAGGAGGCAGAGATGTCGACTTCGAGACTTGAGATGGGGACGTCGACTTCGAGACGTCAACTCGGAAACAGGAACCTCCGACTCGTGGACGGGCTGGACCGGAGCCTTGTGGACGGGCTGCGGAGCCTCGTGAATGAGCTGGACCAAAGCAGGATGCGGAGCGTCCTCCGGGACCACCGCCGAAGCAGGATGTGATGCGTCCTCCGGGACCACCGCCGAGGCAGGATGCGATGCGTCCTCCGGGACCACCGCTGAGGCAGGATGCAATGCGTCCTCCGGGACCACCGCTGAGGCAGGATGCAATGCGTCCTCCGGGACCACCGCTGGGACAAGATGCGGCGCGTCCTCCGGGACCACCGCTGGAGCAGGATGCAGAGATGGTAGATGGAGTTCAGATGCGGGTCGCAGAGCAGGGGCCTCTTGGGTAGGCGGCACAGCTCTGGCATCTGATGTTTTATTTAGTTCAGTCCTGGGTTGCAGAGCAGGGGCCTCTAGAATAGGCGGCACAACTCTGGTCTTGGATGGGTTCAGGAGTTCTGGCTTGAGCTGCAGAGCAGGGGCCTCTTGGTTAGGTGGCACAACTCTGACTTCAGGAGACTGCTGATGATGGCGGCGACGTCGACAGCGGGCGCGGCTCTTAGGAGGTGCAGGAATGACGCCGGCAATGCCAACTGGACCTGGTGAAGGTTTGGTGGTTTGGCCCATCGGAGATGCAGAGATGGCGCTGATTTTAGTAGAGGAGGATGTGTTACAGCCCACCGGAGAAGATGTGGCGGCGCTGTCAGGACCAGGTGAGGGTGTGGTGGTCGGGCCCATCAGAGACGCTGAGACGGCACCAACTTGCACAGGGGAGAATGAAATGAAGCCGGTTCTGGTTGTCAGAAATTATGCAGGAATGGTTAGGAGCAGAAGGAGGAGGATCACGGCCAAAAGTGTGGAGGAGAAACGAAGCAAAGTCCCAGAACAACACAGTTTTTAGATCTTCAATGTCGAAAAGATCTGCGATCCACCGCATGGTTTTTCCTCCCAAACAAAGCACCATGAATGAGACCTTGTCAAACTCTGAGGATTTAAGGTCCAAACAACGGGTGCAGTCTCGAACAAAATACCAACAGGTGTCTGGGTCGCCATAGTAACGGTACATCTGCTCTTGTGTACCTGGAGGTTCTGCTGGGTCCTGGGTTGGTCGGTCCATTCTGTCCCGATACGAAGATGGTTTGGACCCAAAAATGCAGTAACCCAGGATGACACGAGGCAGGGATGAAGATTAAGTAAAATCCTTTATTTTAAGGAGAACCAAAAACAAAAATAAATCCAAAAGGCTGGAAGCCAAAATCCAAAAATCCAGATAAAGGTTTGGAGATCCAAAAAACACTAGAGAACACGAGAAGGCCAAAAACACTAGTAATCCAAAGCGAGACGAAACTGACAGAATAACATAACAATGGACTGACACAACACAGAGACAAGACAGGGCTTAAATACACTGGGAGGAACAATTAGGGAAACAGGAAGCAGGTGTGTGGAGTGAGGGCTGGAGGGAAGACAGGTGACAACAATTATCTAAATGTAGAAACAGAACCAAAGGAGGGCAGATAAACCTAAAACTATAAAACACAAAACTGAACTAAAAGACTGAGGGAAGGACTCACACACACAGTCACACCCAAATACACTCTCACACACACAAACACACACACACACACACACACACACACACACACACACACACACACACACACACACACACACACACACACACACACTAAGTTGGGGAATGGACACACACACACACCCACACAGACACAGAGCTGGGGACAAAGAGGCTGGAGCTACAACTGGAGGGGATGGGGATGATCGAATGCCTACAAACAGAAAACACATAAATGAGACGCAGACAAAGGACACATGAGGGCGCTATGAGACACAAAAAGGAATCTAGAGAGGGATGGAGAAACATCAGGAGACACATGAGGGAAGACGCAGATACAGACCATGACAGGAGCTAACCCATGCAAAGATCTAAAAACCAAAAAAATATTTAAAAACTAATTCTAAAATCAAAAGGCAGCCAAGGCTATCCAGCCAAGACTGTAGTTATGTGATCAAACTTCCTTTTACCCACTAGTAATTTGGCAGCTGCATTTCGCACAAGATGTAACCTCGCAAAGGTGCGCTGGCTCACCTCAAATAGAACCGAATTGCAAAAGTCAATGTGGGTTGAAAAAAAAGCATGAACTACTGCCTCTAGATCATGTCGTGTCAGGAGCAGTTTCACCTTAGCCAAATGTTGTAGATCACAAAAACAGGAGACAATTCCATTTACGTGTTAAGACATAAAATGTATAAAAAACAGACCATTCTGCCTCGTTTTGTTCTAAAGATGTTACCATAAAACGCATAATTATCTTCACAATTATATACTTGAGGCTTCAATTCTGCATGGAGTGCCCACATTTCCTTTTGAAGTGATGCACTTTTGGCTTTCCGTATTACTAACTTTCCCACTAAGAAAGGATTTCCTGGCGTCTGCATGTCACAAGTAAACAACAAATCTGAGATAGTGGTTGTGGAGTGGTGATCACTGGAGTGATTGCTAGGGGATGGGGGCACACGGGAATCTAAATTTTAGGACATTCCGCAGGAATCATGCCCTAATACTGCCAAATCAAATCAGCTGTGCTGCCAAAGCATCATGACTGCAGTGCCTGTGGATGTGAGTGAAAGGGGGTGACGGGATTCAAATAGTAAGTAGGACAAATAGGGGTTACTGCACAGCCATGGATAGCATGTCTTCTTAAAGCCAAACGGGTGGATGTATTTTTTTTCCAGACAAACAAACCATTCATCCATTGGAAAATAATTGGCCCAGTGCACTAAACTAAATATTTGAGTGTGCCCTTGGTGTAGCACCTCCAAAATGGGGGCAGTTCTGCACCGCTGCTGCAAAGCAGAGAAAAGGAGGACATTGTTTTTTTCCCCCTGGGTACAGATGATCTCCCCTGGTGCAGAAATAGGTTTAGAGCTCAGATTTTCACTCAAAGTTGGCGATTAATGTCTGACAAACTAAATCTGACACTCAGAAGAATAACTCAACATGCAGCTGTCATTAAAGAATAATAGGATAAGTGAAGGTATCAGAGGTGAAATGCTGAGAGAAACGAGTCAGCAGAAAATAGACAGATGTGTTCATCTCTATGAGCCTTTTCCTGCATCTCTGCCTCATCTCTGAACTGATGGTAATGTGTCTGAACTCGAGGGAACGAGACAAGCGATATAAATCAATCAACTCATTGTGGGATGAGGGCCTGCTTTTTTGTTACATCTATTACCTTCTTTTTTATTGAGGGTCTAATGAAACCAGTAGAGCAACATGAAGTGTTGCTTTAATATCAGGAATAACTTAGTATATCACTTTAAGGGCAAGATCCCAACGAAAAAACAAGGGATTGCAGGTTTGTGTAGAGGGAAAATTTTTCAAATTAAAACAACAGCAAAATTAATAATCTGTTGTTGTTTATAGAGAGAAAACAAGGCTCATGATTGACTGAAAGCAGGTGGAAGGTTGTCTGAATGTGGTTTTTGAAACTCCAACTGTAGTTTAGAGCAAAACATTCGCTCCCACACAGAACTAACGCTTCTCTGAAAATGAGAGTTCTGATAACAACATTCCACATTACACCATCTATCTTGCCTCATTCACACCTAGATCCATTCATCACACAGAGTGTTTAGAGTTAGTTAGCCTTGTTTTAAATTGTTTAGAAATACATCTTCTTAAAATTTAAAACTGGTCTCTCTCGCTCTCTTGTCTCTGGGTTAATACAAAGTGTTACCTAATCCCTGCAATAAAAAGTTCAGATCTTATGATTAAAGTAATATTCAAAAATCCATCAAATTGGTTTCATATTTCCTATGGAATCCCACATTTATGGTTCATTACGTAACATGTAACTAATGAATCATTACAAATATTTCTCTGTGATCACATAATTCCTCCTCTCAGGATCTTTCCTCAGCACAGGTCATTTGATTCAGTGGTGAATCGCTTGTAGCGGAAATCCACATTTTATATCCTCAGGTTAAACTTTGTATGGATTTACACGGAAAAGAACCATAACATTGTCACACAAAGGGTTCTTTCACATTCAGCAGAAGGAAATAAAGAGGGGAATTTGAAACTGGCCCGCAGGTGGGCATTCTGGTTAACTCCTTCATTTTTCTCCCAGGAAAGTAAATTTTACCAAGTGACTTGTTAAGCTGGACATTATCAGGACTTGGTCTGTCTTACCTTAACCTGTCAATAACTGACTTTCCCCCCAGGACGGTTGCTCATAAAACTTCTCAAGGGTCATTCTGGAAGATTCCAGAATCTCGCTTTTATCAAAGCCCTGGTATTTTTCTGTTTATCTATAATCAAAGAAGGTGTTTAGGTTGTTCACCCTAAAGTAGAAATCAAGGTGCTCTAAGTTAAAATCTTATCAGCCACAGACCTAAACAGTTTGTGTTGTGTTTTCTTTTATGTTAAACCTCTGTCATTTGGTGTTTCTCCAGTTAAAATTCATGCTAATGGTAAAACTGTTCAGCTTTAAGACATAAATTTTATTCTTTCCCGTTGAAAGTAACACTTTGATGCTAAAGTAGTACCTTTGAGGCTTCATATGAATAACTGTGTTAAATTGAGATCATGGATTTTTTTCATCTTGGAGAAGGTAGAGTTTATTTGGAAGAGCCACAGTGCCCTCCATTGGTTTTTGAGTAAGATACAGGTGGGCGTGCCCAAAAGGTTATAGAAGCACCCATCCGAACCTCGTGGCGACAGTTTAAGAACAAAGGACGCCTTAAGCACATCCCTGCGACTGTTTCCATCTGGCCTAGCAGAACCCAGCGCTTTACAGTTGTCAAGTAATTAGCTCTCAAAAGTTTTAGTAAAACTTAGAAGCAGTTCCATTTTGTTTTGTTTGACTTCCTACGTAAAACCGGAAGTCGGCTTGGTCCTGTCTAGTTTTCACATTAAGAGTTAAAACTAATTTGGAGCAGTTTTTCTGATCAGCATCGGTTCTGATAATTTGGACTCGCGTTCTGAATTCCACATTTTCGGTGCAGCAGAAGTGAAGGAACCTTTAGTCAAGCCACTACGGGAGAACACCTCCTTCTACACACCACAGACGCCATTGACCCAAGCTGAGGTGCCAAAAGATCCTACGGCCCCTGAAGGCCGCATTCAAACTTCTGGACCTGGCTGAACAGGCTCCCCCAGGACACCTCTTTGGCAACGGAAAAAGGTCTGTGAAGCATCTCATCTGGATGACTTTTGTGCTAAGCCCGATTAGTGAATTCAGATTTGTACATTTCTTTTATGGCATGTTTTTTATTTCGATCCGAAATTCACGTTTAGCCCTCAAGATCTCTTTTCTTCTTCTGCCATAACGAGCAACACGAACACACACACACACACACACACACACACACACACACACACACCTCATTTGCATCTACGCCCCTCCTGAACACACACACACACACACACACACACACACACACACACACACACACACACATATTTTCACTTGCTCTCCTTACAGAAATTATTCCTAATATTTACTACCCCATGTGTCACTAAATTTCCACTTTATTACAGATCAGTATGTCATAGCACTGCCATAAAGCCTTGGGTTTATCCATCTACTTACTCTCACGCATGAAACTATAAATGTGTTTGGTCTTTTTGTCAATGTAACTGATGTTTGTAATAAATTCACAAAACTTAAATCATGCCTGATCATTGCCTATTGATCTCGAGAATAACCGGCGCATTCTGACAAGAATTCAGCTTTCAGATTAAAATGTGGTGTTAACTTTGCGACTGATTATAGTGAGAAGATATAAATATCAAATCCAGTGTCCCAGTTCACTCAGACAAAACTGGGTGGTGCCCCAAGTTATTTAATATAAAAGTATAAATGATGAAGACAAGCTAAGTCTACACCACATTTGATAAATATAGATGTAAATTCATATTTATCGCTACAAGCTCCTGTAGAAACAAATGAGGCTGAGGACACATTTCAGTTAGATTAAGGAGTACAGCAGTTTGTTTTAACAACAGTGAATTAAAATGGATACTAGGGGATGCTAAAAGCAAGCCTAAACTACAAGGTGTGCCTTTACAGAGCTAATCACTCCCAAATCAACTGTTTTATGTTGATAAACTTTATAAATGAGTTTCTAGTGCTGTAGATAGTGTACTCATTATTTTGGCATTGTGCAGCATATTTAAAATGTAATAATTCATCCTAAAACTGTCAGTGCGTCACCCTCTTCAGGTATAAATGTTGAACTACATTTGAATTTGAATCAGCCAATCAAATCAGCCCACTGTGCTAGCCCACTGTCTACCTGGTCTGGACGTCCTACAGACATGGTCTGGACCGACGACGCAATATAGAAATGATCTGCACGTCCATGTGACGTTGACTGTTTGCAGGGAGCTTAAACGGTACCCCGTGAAGTTGCCTGTGGGCTATGAAAGCAGCCAGGCCAAGCTAATGACAATAATCAAAACCATATTTGAAACTGCAGGAATACAAAATATGAAATTATTTTTCTATCACTCCAAAATGACAATT